CAACAGCTGCGAATGACGATTGGCGCAAGTCCCGGAGAAGTCGCCGCTTCTTAGGTTGGTGGTTCGGCCATTCTCATTCACGTCCTCTACCTCGGAGGTTCGCAACTTGGCTAGCTTTCCCGAGCCATGGTAGAGGGCTGCGTGACGAAAGCGCAGATCAGTGGCAGATGGTAACACGACAGGTGGTCGCGTACATGGTGCGGGTGTACTGTACAGAAGCAGATTGGATCCCTTTCACGACTCGCAGCATTCCGGCCGGGACGGTATGTTTGCAGCAATGTAACGCGATCCCCGAGTCGTACAGCACCTCTTCAACAGATCGCCGCCATTGATTCCGTGTCAATCGCAGACAAGAGGATTTGCCTGACCGGGGCCATGGGTACTGCAAGCATGCCGGGGGGTGAAAGGACAAGCCCATGTCAGCAAGGTTACAGTATCGTGTCCATCGCTTCAAGGCCAGCACTCTTCCACGGGGGAATGGGGACGACGATGGCGTTGCCGACGTCTGCCACACGTCCGCGTTTCTGCACGCGACCGACAGTTATCATTTTGACTCGGTAAGGACTACAGAGTACGCAGTATGGTCACGATAGGACCCTCCTCGACCACGCCATTCCTTGTCAGCCCCTTGGTCAACATTGGCTCTTGGTGCCGCGGATTAAGAGCATAAGCTATAACCAGGACTTTTATCCTAAACGAGCCGTGGAGCCGACGCATCTGATCACAACCGAATGCCGAATCTGCGGATAGGTGAGATCGGCTCCGCACCTTTTTACACGAATATTAATAGCCAAGCTTTGAAGTTTGGTTTGTGACAGATTTCCGCCGTCGAGTCAACCATCAGTAGATGGCCACCAGTCTACTGTGATGTTGAACCGATTCGCAACATGAATCGACTATATCAGAGTTCTGTTCAAGCCCAGGGAGACCGTGTTTCCCCTCGGGAGAGTTGTCAAAACTTATCCACAACGGACCGCAGACTGAATGTCGACGGCGCGATTGGCGTACCTGGCAAGCTGGCTCGAGCTCCCAAGGCTTGTCGGCCCATATGAAACATGACAGCCCGGAGTGGTAACTTGCCAGGTTCCATCCGCGAAGCGAATCTAAAGTGCAGTTTATCTGAATACCACTGGGTGATAGCCGAGAAGTCTACTACGAATGCTGCGTACGCAGTACACTAGCACGCCAGCATGACCTCGACGGAGCTCTGTCGAAAGTAGCACCTTCTCCGAGCCCTCCTCACCACCTCCTCATCTTCACCTCCATCTACAGTCTACACCCTCTTGAGGGGCACCGAAACGGACCATGTGCAGCGCAGGTTACACTACAAGCATCGTTGCAGCAACCCGAGTTGCAGACAAGCCCAGGCAGTAGACTCGGTCAATCACGGTGCTCAGGAGACGCCATCAACCGCCCTCTGGATTCGAGGTGTCATTCGGTATCTCCGCCGGGAGGGAACAGCTCCTGGGTAGCGTGATGGGCACCCGGTGGTAAGCAGAATGGTGTGCAACCCCGCAAAGAGCAAAGTTATCTGGTCGTTCCGGCTGGCAAGTCCTCTGCCCACTTGGAATCGCGGGACCTTTGTCTTTTCAGCAAAGTTATCCACCAATCCAACAATCGTCACCTCGCTTTAGTTATTGTCTGAAGATAGTTGTCTTTGGGCCATACTTAACGTATTTAAGAGGACCGGACGAGAATAAACATTGGTTGGAAGTCGGCGTGTCATGTCGCACACATGTAACCACCGACAACTCGAGGACGGGTGCTGGCAATATCGCATCGCGTAGCTTGAACTCGGGCAAGCTCACCGACAGAGACCAAGAAGCAGTGTGACGATGGCGGCAACGACGTAGACGCACCTTCTTACCCGTAATGACTGTACCGTCAGCCGCGGCTTGCTACGGTATCAGTAAGACTAGCTGTCAACGTCCGGGCCCAAGACACGCATGCATGTTACCATTCACCGATTAGCTTCCGCTGGCCAGGCAGATTGGCAGGCTATCCGTATTACCTCGCACTCTTTTCCCGAAGCAATACAACGTTTGAAAATGGTCGACAGCCACTCGTGTGTTTTGTCTTGAGTCTTTATCCGTACCCGCGCTTTCGAGCAGCGGTGCGGCGTGCGTGGGTGCCTCCAAACAACTGGGTCCGGCAAAGGATGCGGAGAGGATTGGGTCTGCGGCGGCAGTCATTGGCAACAGGCGGTCAACAAGCCGAATGAAACAGCACTGTCAAAGAAGCCCTTGCTAGCTTGCATGAAATTGGGTCTGGCTGGGTTTGGCGGATCCCACATTCCTGCCAGCGGGAGAGGGGGAACACCCTACGGATACATGGGTAGCAAGCAGCTCGACAAACCGAAGGATCATCTTCACCCGCAGGTTAGATACAGGCACGGCGGAAAATGAGTACAACGGGATTGCTTCTCGCACGGCTCGGGCGCTTCAACAAGAAGCTTGTGTCCCTCGTGGCCCAAGGTTGTCGATCTCGGGATAAAAAAGGTTCACGGGCGCATCCCAAGTCTTTGGGTAAGGTAGGAAGATGGAAAGTCTGACAGAAAAGGTGGTTGCTGTCTTCAAACGGACAGAATTAGAACAGAGAGGGCGGGCAGCGGGCATCAAGATGCAACGGGACGACTGGTGACTGGTCGCGCACAACAAGCATCGGGCGCGGGCGCGCGGAAACGGCCACGACAAGCTTAAAAAGACACAACAGATGAAGGGACGGAGGTCAACGGGACTCCATTCCAACCGTCATTCCATCATCTCACCTGGACGTTGGAGCTATTCCTGTCGATAAGCTTTTGCGCACGACTGGCGGAGGCTTCCCTTCTCGCTTGGGAGATCGATGGTTGCGACGACTCACGTCACAGATGCCATGGGACAGCCCGTGCCACCATGGATGGGGCTGATAATCAAGCATATCAAGGGCCAAGAGACCCTTTTTGGAGGGAGGGGCCTCACGGGCTAAGACCAGGAACATTCCTTGGCTTGACAGTTCGGAGCAACAGCCTGAGGGGGCGTGTTCGGCCGTCATCCAACATCTCAGCTCCTTGATGGATATCCATACGTATGTACGTACGCTGTGGCGGCGTACGGATAGCCCTGGAAAAGTCTGGGAATGGTATCATTCAACTCTCTTGGGTCCCAGTGATGCGAAGCAACACTAATGTCCACCTAGTATGGATATCCCTTCGTAGTCAGCCATCCCGTCGGCTGCTGCCTCGCCCGGGTCATCGGCGGCCACAAGACGGATCTGACCACCAAATCCCGGTCGTTTCTGCGGCTTTTTTTCTTTTTCCCTTGTTCTTCCTTCCATGGGCGCACCGCCCGTCGCCCCCCCGCAGTCAAACACTGGGATGGATCTCTCTTCTGATCGGCCGTCGAAAAATGTCCAGTTGACGTTGAACTTTCAGCTCTGGGATGATCCCTACCGAGAAATCCTAGGAGCGGCGTGCGGCGCCACCACTTGCCAGCCTTTCAGCCCCCCAATGTGGGAAATAACCGGGGAATCGGCAGGTTTCTGGATGTCTCTGTGCTCTGCGACAAGAAAAAGCAATACCTAGAGTTCTAGACTTTGGAAGCGGTTCAGCGGCAGGCGGCAGGCTCTATCCATTGCAACGGGGGAGAGCATCCTTCAAAGACCAGACAGACAGAGAGGGGTCTCGCTAGAGCCAATGAAGGTTGGCGAAGGCAACACAGATTGGGTTTCGAGACCATCTAGACGAGTTCGAGGAGCGCGCCAGCCCGCACACTGCTGGCCGTTGGCGGACCGCTGAAGAAGAAACAGCCAAACCAAAGGTTGATACCTACGGAATGCAGTCTGCCAATGTCGTATGTGGCGGCCGCCTGGACCTGTCAGTCTCTGAGAGTCTGTGAGGCTGCCCGTTGTTGAGGTCTGAACGTACATATGGCATGGTGACTTGACACTGGGTGACGGGGAAGCTGGCAGCCTCCTCGCGAAGGCCGGCCACCCAAACTGCCCAAATGGAAAGCATTCCATTCGCGGACAACTTGCTCATGTCAGTCGGTTGAGGCAGCATGTCTCTTTGCCACTGCAACTGCGGCTGCGACTACGACTACGACTGCGACAGCACCACCCTCCGGCTTCAATCCTGCTTTCTTGCGACAGTGAGGTGCGCCGGGTCGTTTCTTTCCGACGTAAAAGCTGGAAAAAAGAAGGGTAGGATCTGTGATTGTGCCTGTCACCAACAAGAGTGTTGCTAGCCCAGTTCCCGATTCACTGCGACCTCATCGTCGTGACAGGCAGAACGGGAGGGAGCTTGTTTCGTCGATGGTCATATTTCGTCCAATGTCTTCCTCCCCATATCCCCGATGCTACTACTCTTAGCCCGCTTCAAACATGGATATTTCAAACCATCTTGTCGTTCGACGGCTTCGCTGGTCGTGCGTTTAATGCCGCAGAGTGCGTCGCGGGCCCGGAAAATTGGGCCATTCACTGACGACAGAGAGCCCTGAGAGAGAGGGAGAGGCGGTTAAGCTGCTGGAGACTTTCTTGACCACCAGGTTGGAGAGAGAGTGGGAGTGGAAGTGGGAGAGAAGCGTTCTAGCAAAGGCTCGCCTCCGGATCCGTGGCACGGGAAGTTTCTTGATCAGGGGAAACCCTTTTCACAGGTCCTCGTTCTCGCGATCTCTTGGCTTGTGGTCAATGCTAGTCGTTTTGGAATCTTTGTTTCTCCGAGAGCCGTGGAGGCTCATTACTGCTCTCTTTCGAGTCTCTTTTAGTACTATCGGCCTTCACTCCATTGTGTCTAAAATCCCTTTGTCATCTTGGATGGATATTCCCGAGGCTAACAGCGTTAGCCAGAACCACTTTTACTCGGTCGGAAGCCGGACACAGTCAAGCGGGCGAACGAAGACTGGGCCGAACCTTCGCCGTCTTCCGCTGCAGAAAGAAACACGGCGCTCGCCGACAGCGAGGGGAACCTGATAGCGTAAACCTGCGAATATGGAGACAAATTCGGGTCGTTGTCAACCAAAACGAGAGGCAAAACGTAAAAAACTGGAAGTGAAAGAAAAAAAAAAACCAATGATATGACACAACACGGATAAGAAAGAAACTTTTGGTGGCAGATACCAAGCCGTGCGTTCGTCTACAAGACTTCTAGAAGTTCTCCAACAAAAATCTATTTTTGTTCGTGAACGACACAAAAAGACAAAGGTAGAAACCTGTCGACGAGATTTTTTGAGCAAACTTTTTCGGGTGAAACATCTTTCTACTAAAATACATCCTCCCATCTTTTTGCGACTTCTGTCTGGCGCATCGCATCGCATCGCCTTGCCTCCAAACTTCATCCCATCATTCGTCGTCTTTATCTCCAGAGCCGACAACGACCTCTCACTCTCTCTCTCTCTATCCAAAGCATCTCCAACAAAACGACACACAGACTCTGCGACTTCAGACATCTGGGGCCCCCTCATCATCCTCACGCTCTCACACACCCCACACACACACACACATATTCACGACACGCATATCCCGCCCACGATGTGCAAGGACAACCTCCACGACTTCCTGGTCGATCTCCCAAAGTGCGAGCACCACATTCACATCGAGGGCTCCCTGGGGCCCGAGCTGCTGTTCCACCTGGCCGCACAGAACAACATCACTCTGCCCGTCGACAAGGATCCCGCCTTCGCCAGCGTCGAGGCCCTGTACGAGCGGTACCGCAACTTTTCCTCGCTCGACGACTTCTTGCACTACTACTTTATCGGATTCTCCGTGCTCCTGACCGTCACCGATTTCGAGGAGCTGGGCTATGCCTATCTCAAGAAGGCGCACTCGCAGAACGTGCGTCACGCGGAGGTGTTTTTCGATCCGCAGGCGCACACGTGCCGTGGCGTCGCGTACGAGACCGTCATTGAGGGCTTGAGGCGCGCAAAGGAGCGTGCGCAGCGGGATTTTGAGGGGTTGACGGTTGAGTATATCGTCTGCTTCTTGCGGCACTGCGCCGTCGAGGACGGGCTGCGCATGTTCACGGAGGCCAGGGACGCGGGCCACTTTGCCGACGGCACGATTGCGGGCGTGGGCATGTCGAGCAGCGAGGCGCCGTACCCGCCCAAGATGTGGACGTCCATCTACGACGCCGTGCGGGCGGCGGGCGTGCGGGCCACGGCGCACGCGGGCGAGGAGGCGCCGGCCGAGTGCGTCGTGCAGGCGCTCGACGACTGCGGCGTCACGCGCATCGATCACGGGCGGCGGTCGGCGGAGAGCCCCGAGTTGCTGGCGCGGTTGGCGCGCGATAAGACGCTGCTGAGTCTGTGTCCGATTTCGAATGTGGTGTTGAGGGGCGTGAAGGAGATGAAGGAGATGCCGATTCGGGAGTTTTTGGACAAGGGGGTGCGGTTCAGCATCAACAGCGACGATCCTGCGTATTTTGGGGGGTATATTCTGGAGAATTACTGCGCTGTGCAGGAGGCGTTTGGGTTGAGCATCGAGGAGTGGAAGGGGATTGCGGTGGGCAGTGTCGAGGGGAGCTGGTGCTCTGAGGAGAGGAAGGAGGTTTTGAAGGGGGAGATTGAGGTTGTTGTGAAGAAGTATGCTGGTAAGGCTTAAAGGGGCTGGAGACTGTGTATTGCTGAGCGGGTGGGAGAAGGTCGTGGGTTGATGGCGTTTGGGCGGATGTCTGATTTTTGGATGAATGAGGATTTTAGGCACGACGTGATGTCGTTGTCTACCTCAAAGGATTTCAACGAAGGGAGGTTGCATTGGTCCCCCTTCAACTGGGACTATGGGTTTTGGAAAAGGGGGTTTTAGAAGGAGATACCAGAATCAGAATGTCATGACGCTGAAGAGTAATTCGCGATTAAGGGCACGTAGCAAAATAATGGGAACAAGAACGCACCTTTCAAGATTCAACAATGTCTATTGTGATTTGCACGAAGACTTCCATGAATATCGTTGGGCTGGTCTTGTACATCGCGAAGAGCCAGAAAAGGGGTAACTCGCTCCTCGTCGCCTAAACGCCCGCGACGTAGCTAGGTGAGCTGAGCTGGTGGGATATCTGGCCACCATCCCTTACGATGAAAGCACATCAACCTACTCTACTTGTCTGAGTTGATGCTAGGCTCTATACATGACCGGCACATGAATAATTTGCGGTCTTGGACATTGTTGACAGTATTTCGAGTTGATTTGGTTCCCGTCGCCCCTTTTCCACTTCGAGTCATAATGAGCTTTGGGTCATAGGAGCATCGGCGCACTTGCTGTGAGACCTTCGAAAAGCACGAATCAGTATAATGATGGTCTTGATAACTAGCTAATTTCAAGTGAGGCTTTATCGAGTTCGTGCCGTGGTTTACGTCTTGTGGTTTTCGAGTCGGTCGAGGAGAGGAGGGGGCGGGCATGTTGCCGGCGATGCAACGAACACCTTCAAAGGAAATACCTCGCCGTGGTGCCATCGACGTCGTTTCACGGCGATCATTCCAAGTTTATTTTTTTTCCGGAAAGTCATTCACTGGCGCACGCTCTCTGTATTCCTTTGTGCCTGCTCGGACTTTCTCGTTTGAGCCGCTGTCGCTGATGATAGTCCGCGTTTGTCATTGATATCTGAGCATCCTGTTCCTCTCGGACACACCGGCTGGGGAAGATTGTACGGCATCAAAAACACGATTTGAGACGCCCGCAAGTTTTATGATATCTCTACAAAGCAGATCTGTTTCTAATCGTGTTACGGATAGGGACTGTCTTCGCCGTGGCTAGACAGTTGGGCTGAACGTGAAGTTAAGCTGGCCGCGTAGCATCTGTGTGACGTTCAAGATACCTGCATCTTGTTACATCCGTACTATTAAAATGACTATACTAGCCTTGAGAGCACTCGACTAGAATGCCTTTCGGTCTGTGGCAGTTTCGTCGTCTCGATGCTATGGTTGACGAGAATGGAAGCGCAGATCGGGAATACATGAAAACACTTCCGCCAAATATCTACCGAATTGGATCAACCCATTGAGACACGTCAATCCGCCTTTTCACGTGAACCTCTCAAGATGGTCTTCGCTAGTTATGAACTGACTGGATGATAGTGGGCGCGGTCCCCTCGGAATTTGTTCATGGTGTAAGGTAGCTCAAGCCGGCCAGATCTTGCCATGGTGGAAACGGAACAGAATCAAGTTTCCGTGAACTTTGTGATGACAACTGGCCTCTTCAGGTGTGGACCAAACGACACACTTGCCCGTCGAAAAATCTTCGCAAGCTTCTAGGAAAGCGAAAAGCCTGTCCTCCTTTGCATGGCGGCACCCATAAAGTCGGGGAACAATGATATGATTCTCTCGAGCCTTGCTCGTTCTATGGCGAGGTCCAGTGATGATTCCAAGATTCTCAGCTTCCTAGATACATCCGACTTAGATGAACCTAGGCTAGAGCTGTGGGCAAAGCACACATCTATCTCCTGATTTGGTACACCAGCAACATCTCATTCCCACTCTACATCAGCAACAACCGGAAGAAGAGACCTTGTGATCCCTCAATCTACCATTGTACATAAACTCTATGAAAGCATTTCAAGGTTCCTCAGAACCACAGTGTAATTGCAGAAGATAATCCGATCAAACTTCCCCTCAAGAACCGGGCAAAAGTAAGACAAGATATATGAGGTAAACATCCAAAAGGCCTCTCAAAAGTCGACCAAATCGACAAAAGAGTTCATCCCCCCGGTGGCGAATGGGGACTACATCTCTGGCGCACATGCTGGGACTCGAACACGGGACCTCTCAAAGCCTTCACCGAGTAGGCTCGTGGACTCGAACCACTCCACCACCCAGCCAGTTTTGACCTGACCCCCAAGGGGGGCGCCTGCTGGCTGGTGACAGGAATGGACTTGGAGGGATATATGAAGGCTTTGTTTGCGGTGTATGCTGCGTTAGGTATACTCGAGTAGCAGACGGAAGGGGGAAGGTATGAATCATGGGGGTCCGGTCGTACCTGCCTACGTGGGTTACAGCACCACGTACGTCTGTTGATGGGAGTATGTATCCAAAGGTGATGAATCATTCTCAAGAAGAGAGGCTTGTAGGTGATTCACCTAGAGCAGGCTCAGCGTCCCACTGTCAACAGCGTCCCATTGTCGACAGCAGCCCTACCATGAGTTGCCCCTCTAGGTAGTCTTTGGAGCCTGACGTAGGCGGATACCTGTAAACCATGGAGTAATATAGATCTCACGGAAGATGCCCTTCCCACGACTTGACTTGAACTGCTTCCTTCCCCTAAGATCCCACGAGGATGACTGTTGACTGAGAGCTGAAGTGCTCGCAGTAACAGATAATCCCAGGAACCGTCGATTACCTTCATATAGCTCTCAAGACGAAGGTGCGGCTATGAATCGACAGAACAAGAAACATCATCAGATTTAGTATAGGCCAGCCAGTAAGATTCAATTTCCAAACTTCACACCGTAGAGAATCAGAGTACAATAACCAACCCCATGACTTCTCAACCTGTCCTAACTAGGTTGTCCAGGGCCTCTCACGTCTCAGTGTTCCATGAGAATTGTAGTGCAAATGTGAGATACTAGTTCATTCGACCTATCCATTTCAAAGCAGAAGTAGCCGCAACTAATATAACCTTAAGCATCGAAAAAGACACCACCAACATCAATCGAAACATCAAAAGAGTTCACCCCCCCGGTGGCGAATGGGGGCTACATCTCTGGCGCTCATGCTGGGAAATTTCTAGCGCTCGTTCCGGGACTCGAACTCGTATGCGCTAAGTCTGTCGTCGAGTAGGCTGGTTGGCGTTAAAGAATTGTTGACCATTAACCACTCTACCACCCACACCACAGCTTTGACCTGACCCCCGACCTAGAGGGCGCCTGCTGTACTGGTGACGGGAATGGGATTGAGGGGGAGGGGGGGGGGGTATCTATGCTTCCCGTCTACCTTAATGTAAAAGGTATTCTGTGTATTCGGGTGAGGTGCTTTGAAGAGGTAGCCTGACCGGATGAGGGCGAAGAAGGGATGGCGGGCGTGCCTGCCCTCCGGGTGCGTGATTTGAAGTTGAGCATATAACTGAGGTCAAGTATTAATCACCGATTTTGAGAGAGAGAGAGAAGCGGCTGCTTCATCGTACCTTACTCGGTACTTCACCCTTTGCAGGCTCTCCGTCATTCTCTCGACCGCGACTCCGCCATCATTGTTCTCCGGAGAGTATCCTTCGAGCCTAGATCAACGACTATCAGCCCCTTAGCAGGGGTGGAACCACATAGTGACACGAATGAGGCATGACCATGATCAAACTGGTGTCTATAAAACTTGGTGCTACCCGACGTATGTGTACAGCTTCGTTGGCGAATCCAATCTACAAAACATCTATAGCCGCCCAGCGAAAGAACTGATTCCCATAAGAGGCTACCCCCGTGATTCGAATTCGTGATAGATACTGTGCGCCTCCATCGTACAAGAATACTTTCAGGTCGTTTACCCGCTTCATTCCTGTCCCCTCCCGACGCCAGTCAACCCCCCTGCAAGACCCTGCATTCTCCTCCCCAATAAGTCATCTGTACTTTTCAGCTTCACGAGGCTCGCGCTCGCGCCCGCACTCTTACTCGCGCCCCGTGCGCGGCCATTCTTCTTCTTGCCGCCCGCATCGGGTACAATGGACTCGCTCTCGTCCATGGCCTGCGGCTCCTTGGTCAGGGTATTCTTACGGTTCGCCCTCGTCATGCTTATCTCTAATGGCCTGTCCTCGTCTCCGCTCGACTCGACGCGGTTGTGGTGCCGGCCTTCGCTGTTGCCGTTGGTTATCGGCCCGCCGCCGACACGTCTGCGACCGCGACTCTCTCGCTCCCGCACGGCGTCGGCGGAGGCAAAGATCTCTGTGATCCATTCCGCTGACCTCTCAAAGTGCTTCCATGCTGGTGGGTACACGGTCGGGAACTGAAGGAAACCGTGGGAGATGCCGGGGATCAGCATCACCTCGGCAACGTCCTTGGGATTGAAGACGGGCTCGAGTCCATCGCCGAGGTCGGAGCGCTCGGATTGGGCCTGGTCGAACATGGACTCCTTCACCTTGCGTAGGCGGGCTGAGAAGATGACGGTGTCGTCAACCAAAGGGTCTCGCTCGCCGGTCAGAAAGTAGACCTTGGGGAAGCGCGCGAGGAGCGAGTCGGGGGTAAGGACGGGAGAGAGGAGGTAGTCCTTGCTAAAGTCGGGTCGGTTGTGGGGACCGATGTAGAGAATGATCATGGCGCGCATCATCTCGGGCGTGAGCACGCGATCGTTGAAGTATGAGATCATGGACGACATGGCGAGGCGGGTTCGAAGTGGCTCGGAGTGATGGGATGCGCTCTGCTGACGCTTGATATCCGGGGCAGAGGATCCCGCGTTGGACATACTTTGTGGACCGCCATGCGAAAACTCGGGATGGGGACTAGCGAGGGCTTGTTGTGAGGCGATCTGGACCTCCTTGGCCGTCAGCTCCGTCGACTGCTTGTTAGAGTCCTCCTCGTCATCACTGTGATGAGGTGTGCCGACGAGGTCGTTGTACTGCATGCTCTTTCGCCTGATGATCGACTTGTTCGTGCTTCTCAGCCTCCTGTCCTTCATCAATGACATCTGCTCGTCCGACATCCAGTTGCCGATGTTCATATCGAGGGCTGGATAGAACAAGACCAATCCGTCGGGCAATGGCAGATCTCCTGTGCTCGAGTAGCGACGCATCGGCACTGATGTTCTCTCGACAATCATGAGAGTCGTTGCCGTGGCCAAGTTACCGCCAGCGCTGTCACCTGTAAGCACAATTCGGGGTGTCTCTCTTCCAGACATGCCGATGCATCTTCCCTTGCTGCGAATAAGTGTCGTGTAGACGTCGAAGCACTCGTTCAGGGCAAATGGGTACGGGAATTCGGGAGCTTTTTTGTAATCCAAGCTAAGAACTGGCATGCCAGTCTTGGACGCCCATGCGAATAGCTTATCATCGTTGCACCGAGGGTCCATGGCGACAAATCCACCACCAGGGATATCCAGAATGATTCTGCTGTGTCGCACGAGGTCCGTCAATGGGCCATCAAAGTAGAGCCAGGCCGATACAGGCTCCTTATAATCACTCCCAGAAGGTCGGGGAATGCGGATTGCACGCGGGGGCCAGCGGGAGAAGCGAGGCCTCATGAGGCCCTGGAAGAATTTCAGGTACGGCGTCGTTCCTTTGTCCCAGGACACGCGCAGATGCTCGACTGTCAACATGCCGCGCACCTTGCGCACCTTTTCATCGGCCTTCTCGGCGGCAAACATGTAGAATACGGAGAAGACGATGCTGGCCAGGTCGCGAAGCCACTTTGCGCGGATCTTCATGGCGGTCCAAAAACCAGCATCCAGAGCAGTCAAGATCCATGTTGCGCGGAAGTAGGTGGCGTCGTACATGTTGGACATGGGTTCGGGACTCGCGAGGCCGACCAGAGTGCTAAAGTGTCGGGCAGCGTAGAGGTAGATCATGGTGACCACGACGGTCTGCCATGTCGTGAGGCGTTTCGTCGTGAGCTTGGAGAAGAAGCGGATGACGGGAGGGCCGTGGGGGTGTCCTCTGTGAAGAATCACATCAGCTCCTATCACGACAGTGTTGCACAAGATTCAAGACGACGTGTGTTACCTAAAGATGTATGCCGACCAGAAAGCCAGCACCGCCAGGACCTGAAGGCGGCGCGACTTGACCGACGGCCGTCCCAGGACGTGGTCTATCATGGCGACTGGTGTATGCTATGATGAACACCAGAGCAGTAGACGAAGTAGGAGAAAGAAGGAGCAGTAGGTTGCAGATTCCGTCGCAAGGTCATAGGAATCTGGGCACCAAGGACAGCCGGAGGCGCGGCTGACCAAGCGAGCAGCGCGAGACCACGAGGTTGTGGCTGGGGTGTACAATGGATGGCGTTGAAGTCGTCGACGGGACGGCGCAGCGCGAGTAATGTGATGGCTCCAGGGCTAAAAGGCCATGGCAATGCGTCCCAGGCACCTCAGAGAAGCGCTTGGCGAGCAGGGCGGGCGAAAAGGTGCAGCGACGGACGGCTCAACACCACGGACCGCCACCCGAAGTTGGACTTGGTTCGAAATAGAAGGCCGGAGAGGTTCCGGCTGTTTTGGATCGTACACGTTTGGGGAATGGTTGTACGTGGTGGTACGAGGAGCTAGAAGCCGAAGATGATGGACAGCCGAGTGCCTGGAATGAATGACGATATGTTTCGCGAAGGATATGGCGGAGAGGAGTAGTTGAGAGTCGAGCAAGAGCTGTCAAAGAAGACTACGATGGGAAGAGGAGCGGTAGCAGCGGCAGCAGCAGCAGCGACAACAACGGCCGACGTTGCTCGTGAAAGAGGGTCCTCGACCAGGGTACCGGCGGCACATGTTTCAATGTGAAAGCGGTCGAGTGAGTGTGTACGGAGTACTCTGTGTGTGTCTCTCCGCGTGGGCTCGGTTCAATTGCTGGCTTCTGAGGTGAGATGGTGACGTTTGTTTGGGTTTGGGGGGCAAGGGCAGCTGACATGTGAAGAGGCCCAAACCCACCTGCAGTGTGGGTTTGGCCTGGGTGCTCGAGTCAACCCGCACGGGGTAGTACGGAGTACCTACCTACCTAGAGCTGTAGCCTGTACTCCGTACGCAGCAAGTACGGAGAACCTTGGAGGAGGAGCACGCGGGCAACTGCGGCCTCCGCCACTAGTCCCCTTCGAGATCCACCCCGGATCCGACACCGAGGATGTCCAATCACGCAACGCCGGCTGGCTCTTCTAGCGCTGTTCCCTTGCCGGTTTCACTGCTGGCAGCTGCTGAACCGCTGTCCAACTCCACTGAAGATTGTTACCTACCTTATCATGCACTTGTAGTGCAAACCAGAAGGGTTACCTAAGCATCAAGGTACACCCGCCTGACCCGCCTATCCCCGGATTCGGGAGACTTTCTTCAGGAACGCATTCGACGTCCACATGACGGTCACGAGCACCCAGAATACCGATGCAATCCGGCGTTGTGGATAACGCCGGCACCCGACATGTCAACATCAACTTCGAATTTCCGATTGTGTGTACTACGACACTCCGGTCCGAAAGAACGTCTACCCTTGGCTTCTTGCTATCCATATGACAGCAGTATGCCCCACTCGCCTACGATAACCTTCACAAACCCCTACTGCTCTCCGGCAAGGGTTCCCTTCAGAATGCCGCCTTAAGGCTGCCGCCGCACTTCAGGAAGAGACACGATCGGGGACGCTGCATTCAATTCTTCTTTGATGCGGCAATCCCGAATCAGCTCATTGGGCAAATTACTAAGACCGGCTCCGCCAGATTGGCCGCGAGCACATGTAATTGGTCAAATCCTCATGCAAGGGAACGACAGCCATATGCTGTTTAGTAGGGCAGATTCAATGGAGCAGCTCAACACACGGCATTGGGTGGGTTTGCTTACAGCCCAATAAGACTGCCCCTCACTCAGCCTGATTGTTCAGAGCAGGTAGATAAAGACACAAAAGCTTACGACAAGCATAATGTCAGAGCAGCTCCCTTTCAAATGAATGCTTGTCAGTCTGCTTCATCTGTTTAGCTACGCCACGAGAGATTGCTGGAAAGTTGAAAACACTGATCATTCTATACATCATGGACCTATTCCAGTACAAACCACTAGACCTCACGGAAAAGTCCTTTCGGCTACTCATGCTTCATCCTGGATCCACCGGCGAGATATCCTGTGATATCTTTGAAGCAAGTCTGGACTCCGAAGGCATTATCCCCTATGAAGCCTTATCGTATGCCTGGGGCAGCATTGATCTCTCGGCCTCCATCATCGCCAACGGCAAGACCCTCCGCATCACGAATAACCTGTTCACTGCTTTGACTTACCTCCGAGACGACCATGTCAGCAAGGTCATGTGGATCGACGCTGTCTGTATCGACCAAAGCAACGTCGCTGAGCGAGGTCACCAGGTCGGACAGATGGCTGGCATCTACAGAGGCGCTGAACAGGTCATCGTATGGCTTGGCCCGCCCACACATGCGACGAACCTCTTGCTGGGATGCCTCAAAGAACTACACAAAAGCTGGGCCCGTCAGAAAAGCCGAAACAATCTTGACCAGGCACAAGAGCAATGGACAAAGATACGGCAAAACTCGGGACTTGACCAGGCTGTCCTCATCAATCTACAACGGAGGGGACTTGTTTCACTCCTCGAGGAGACTTGGTTCACGAGGATATGGGTTCTACAGGAAGTTTCAAATGCACGAGCAGCTTCGATCTATAGTGGCAGACGGTCCGTTCAGGCTTACATGCTCAATATCGCTGCGAAGCTCGTCGGTGTCGTCCCCAACGCCGGATGCCAAGCTGTTCTGGACCTTCTTCCGAACTCCTTTACTCAGAGATCCCCAAGAAAGGACGTTCTCCTTACTTTATTGCAAAAGTTTCAAAGCAGCAAGGCGAGCGACCCTCGGGACATGGTATACGCCCTATTAGCAATAGCGTCCGACGTATCGCAGAACGACTCGGGATCACTGCTATCGCCAGACTACTTCAAAACTGAGGAGCATCTGGTGCAAGACCTCAAGATATACCTGTTCCTTGATGCGCGATATTGCATCTTTATTCCCGAGCGAACCATGGAATCCTTTCTCGAAGCGCTGCCTGGATCAATAGCGGCGATACTCCAAAGCGTTGTGGTGACGGGGGTCACGAGCCACGTCCTCACGCTTCTTGAGAGGGGCCAAAAATTCACCGTCAATAAGGCCGATATTGACGCAATGTGGAGAGAAGAAGGACTGGGAACTACAGAGGTTCTCTCTAATCTAGCTCAAATTGAGCATCAAAACTTCCACTTCAGCCTAGAAGGCGTAGAGGCGTCGTTTCAGTTTTTCGATCTTGCAACTGCGCAAAGTCTTGTGAGCCGTTATGGAGAACGCATACAGATCAATCAGCATCTTGCCACAGCCTTGCTACGGCGAAGAGACGGCAGGGATCAAATCCTCATGTTGCTGATCGAGTGGGATAAGCCTTCTATTCCATTAACGCAAAATGGATTGACCGCTTTAGTGAAGCTTATCGATCCGGCGTCGTTGCAAATGCTTCTCAAGAAACAAACAAAAGTATATCAAATAACGGACAAAGTTCTTGAAGAAGCTTCCCGCAATCGAAATGAGGGCAAGATCATCCCGATACTCCTCGATTCAGTCGGCGATCGAACCGAGTTCGAAATGAGTGGGTTGCTGTGGTTGCTGCGTTTTTTTGACAAGAAGAAATTGATGTTGCTGCTTGTTTCAAATTTCAGTAAAATCAGCATTGCTGCTTTGGGGCTCCCTCCTGATGAGAGTGTCCTCTGGTCTACTGAGTTGGTATCCGGCTTAGGCTCACTTAGCAACTGGAAGAAGATCGAATACATCAGAGAGAGCACGGAATCTCAAGAGACATTGGATGTTGAGGCGATCAGAATGGAGGCGGAATTCATCAACGGTTTGTGTATGAACGCAACTCTCGACCGGTTCAGTTTGTATCCAAATATGCCAAGACACATATGATTTCTATAAATCATGGGATGACGACTGTTATCAAGAAAAGCAAAGAACGAATATCACCAAAACTGTGCGAAACATCTCGATCAAGTCATCGTCAAAATCAAGTGCGCGAGAAACTCGGTTCAAAACCACCGGTAGTTCACTTTAGGTAGCCCGGGATCGGAAGGACATCCACGGCGCCAGAATCACACAATCAACCTAGACACTCACAGGCACCCGCTCTATGACTGTGATATTTTCCCGACTCAGGCCATAAGGCTTGCCAGTTCTGAAGCAACGCAGACAGAGTCAATGTAAATTTCGACAGCGAGATCTCAAGAGAGAGCCAACCACTGTTTTCTATCTAGGATGAAAGCAGATGAACGTTTCGATGGAGTTTTCACTGCCAGCGATCTTCCGTACTCTCAGCCCTAAGCATTGGCTTTTTACACTTTCTGAAAGGTTCACTGTGCTGCCTTTGCCTATAGCAATTCGCGACTGCCAATTCGAGATGGCGCGGGATTCCACTGTGTGGAGGCTTTTATACAATTGGTGAGATTCGCCTGCATGAAGCATGGCCACAATTTGGGCGAGTTAAAAGGCCTGAAAGGCAGATTTACTGGCGAACCATTTCAAAAAGCGACTAAGCCAATGATAATACGTCGCATGCTGTAAGATGGAACCCCCTCTTTTCCCTCAGCCTGATCGCCTTGAAGAGGAGAATCTCAAAGATTACAAGCTTTCTCTTTCTCAGATATCGAAACCTCATTCACTCACACTGATCCTACCGCCTGCTTTCCTTGTCTAGACTCTTTGGGTATTCGAAAGCCACAGACCTTTTTGTCCTTTTATTTTTATTTTCTTTTTCTTTGTTAAAAGCGGGAAAAAAGGCCTTGAGAATGGAGCCATTCCGGTATGAACCCCTTGACCTGGGAATAAGGTCATTTCGACTTCTCATCCTCTACCCCGGAGACGACGAAATCCGATGCGACATCTTCCAAGCAGTTCTCGAGCCAGATGACATAATTCCTTACGAAGCCCTCTCGTACGCATGGGGTGGGATCGACCGCACAGAATCCATCACTGCTAATGGCAAACGGCTACCCGTCACAGAGAGATTATTCACAGCCTTGGTTCATCTTCGCACACAACAAGCAAGGATACTTTGGGTAGATGCCATCTGCATTGATCAAGACAACTTTGCTGAGCGAGGGCATCAGGTGGGACAGATGGCTGGGATATACAGACAAGCAGAGCAGGTCCTCATTTGGTTAGGACCCGGAACACTTGACACAGCACTTCTGATGGAGGACTTGGCGATTCTCCATGAAGTATCAACACAGCAAAGGCGTCGGGATGACACTGATTGGGCAAGAGTCCGGTGGACATGCCTACAGTTAGGCTACTCTGATGCTCGCAAACTTTCGTGGACATGCCTACAGTTAGGCTACTCTGATGCTCGCAAACTTTCCTGCCAGAGCGGATTGCAGCAGCTCTTACAACAAGCCTGGTTCACGAGAGTGTGGGTTATACAAGAAGTATCCTATGCTCGAGCAGCTTCAATTTGCTGCGGGTCTTCGTCGGTCCCGGCTCATATTTTCGTCATTGCCACAGAGCTCATCAACGTCGAGCTTGATGATCAGCGCCAGACTCTCATGGATCTCATGCCGAGCCCATCGAATAAGAGACATGGATCTACGCGGAAAAAGAGCTTACATACTCTGCTACAGAAGTTCCGCGCAAGCCAAGCGACAGACCCCCGCGATATGGTATACGCGCTACTCGGCATCGCCTCTGACGCGCAACAAGACAATGGGCTGCTAGTGCCGGACTATTTCAAGACTGAAGCAATGCTCATCAGAGACCTGGAGTCTTACCTCTTTTTTGGGCGCACGACTCGTCAAAGGAGACATCATACGCACATGCGTTCGTTTCTGAAAGCACTACCAAAATTGACGAACTCCACTTTCCAGGGACTCATAAGTGCCGGCAATCTAGATTCAATCCAGAAGCTGCTTGGTAGAGGACAAAGCTATGAGACAACGGCGATTGACATCTGGAATATCGAGAGCACCAAGCTGATTGAAGATCCTAATAAGAAATTTTGCGACCTTCTTGACTTATCGGCTCCGAATTTCACCATTAGTTCTGCGGGTATCATTGCGACTTTGGATTGGTGCGATGACAAGACAGTTTCTGAAATCATCCGCTACTACGTAGACAGGATGGAGATATCCGCGGAGGTGGCGGATTCTATCCGTGCAAGAAATGATGCTTCACCGGTCATCGACTACGTCACGAAGAACAGACTCGAGATAAAGCCAGCGTCGAAAGCTTTTCACAGACTATTGACTCTCGTGGACCCTCTCCAGATTTCCCGGTTCTTCTTCCTCCCGCCGCGCCGCGAGTGCTGCATCGACCGGGGGTTCGTGGAGGCGTTGCAGATGATTGGTACCCGTGGTAAAGACAACCTGGTGTCTATATTGAATAACTGGGAGCCTGGGGCGGTGCACATTGAAGCAGATGGTCTACTCTCCATACTTGCTTTCTACGACGCCGAGATTGTAGCGCTACTTGGACGCCAACGAATTGCCAGCATCGAGCTGGTATGGGTCGACATGAAATTGACAGTTCAAATAGCCAAGAAGCTTGCATACGAGTATATGGTGCTATCACAAGACGTTTTGCCCATCATTCGGGAGAGGTTGCAGTTCAGAGGGAGTGTCGTTCTGAGCGTGATTGAGCGTGGCAATAACAGAATAGAAAGTAACTCTATCGAGTGGGAAGAGTTTCCATGAGTAATCTCATGGCTGGGAATTTCTTGAAGGTTCCGCCGTGGCAACCATGACGTTTCTTAAGCCATGGAATTTCCGCAATTCAAATTGTTAGTCGCGTTATCTGATCTGCTTCTCTAATTACTTCTTCTTGAATGCTTGGTTTTCTCACATTAGGTACCTTGGCAGCGTTGAGGCTCGGATACTAGGCAGTTTACTCTTCTGGACACTCCTCAAATCTAGCAAGGTAATTGAGGAAGCAGCCGCCCAATCCCTCAATGAAATGGCAAGTTAGCAATGAGAGACTTTCATAGCTCATTCTTGCTCAGTGTTAAGGACGTAGAGACTACACATGCCATTGAATTGATGCTCAGCAGCATGTTAAAGGTAAGGTAGCAGAAGCTCTGACGAGCCCTCACACTGTTTCAAGACCACATCGGCAGTTCGTCCGAGCCCGACCGAGATCGGAGGGATATCCCCGGGCCACAGCGCACGTAACACCGGGAAAGAGTGGATCTGCCCCTCCAAACGGTGCAAAAAGTGGGAAAATGCGCGCCTTATCGATAACATGTTTGACGAGTCACCTCTGTGCATGCATGCGCGAACGGCCCAAATTTTAATCGACGACTTCTCTTCAACACCATTCTCTTTTGCCAGTCTTTTACCGCAGAGCCCTGTTTGTTCTTCAAGATACCATAATGGCGTTCCGTGCTCCTCTGCGACTTCAATTGGCAAAGTGCCAGCCTCGTCTGGCCGTCGCCCCGCGCATCAACTCCCGCGCTCTCTCTTCTGCGGCTGCGGCCGCCACGAGCGACGTCAAGAGCAACTTCGGCGTAGGTGACCCCATGAAGTCACGAGCTGTTTGAGTGACTCACCACCAGACTGACACTGACAATGAGTAAAAGCAGTCATCAGTACCCAACCCCGATCCGACCGAAGACTCCCCGAGCGCCGCTCTCGTCCGCGAACATGCGCCCTACATGGTCGCCACATACGCCCGCCCGCCTCCCGTCTTCGTACAAGGCCAAGGTTCTCTCCTGTGGGACGTCGAGGGCAGGAAATACCTCGACTTCACAGCTGGTATCGCCGTCAATGCCTTGGGACACTGCGATCCTGAGCTGACCCAGATTCTGACCGAGCAGGTGGGTAACTCCGAGCCGCCGTGAGTCATTTTAATACCAGATGCGCTGACAGTACATGGTCGGAACCTTACAGGGTAGCACGCTCATGCACGCCTCGAACCTCTACTACAACCCCTGGACCGGCGCCCTCTCCAAACTGCTGATCGAGAAGACCCGCGAGGCCGGTGCCATGCACGACGCCAACTCGGTCTTCGTCTGCAACTCCGGCTCCGAGGCCAACGAGGCCGCCATCAAGTTCGCCAGGAAGGCCGCCAAGGTCAGCCAGCCCTCTGGTGATAAGTACGAGGTCGTCTCCTTCAACAATGCCTTCCACGGCCGCACCATGGGCAGCTTGTCCGCCACCCACAACCCCAAGTACCAGGAGCCCTTTGCGCCCATGCTGCCCGGCTTCAAGCTCGGCGCCTTCAACGACGTCGCTGCCATCAACGAGACCATCACCGAGAAGACCTGCGGTGTCATCGTCGAGCCCATCCAGGGCGAGGGCGGCGTCACGCCCGCGACGGACGAGTTCTTGATCGCCCTGGCGAAGCGCTGCCGCGAGGTCGGCGCCGTCCTCATCTACGATGAGATCCAGTGCGGCCTCTCCCGCACCGGCACCTTCTGGGCCCACACCCACCTGCCCAAGGAGGCCCACCCGGACATCATCACCACCGCCAAGGCCCTCGGCAACGGCTTCCCCATCGGCGCCACCATCGTCAACAGCAACGTCTCGGAGAAGATCAAGGTCGGCGACCACGGCACCACCTTTGGCGGCAACCCCCTCGCCTGCCGCCTGGCCCACAACATCGTCTCCCGCCTCGCCGACCCCGGTCTGCAAAAGGCCGTCGCCGCCAAGGCCGAGATCTTCAAGACTCGCTTCGATGCCCTGCGCGAGCGTTTCCCCGACTTGATCAAGGAGGTTCGCGGCCGCGGTCTCATCCTCGGTCTCCAGCTTACCCAGGACCCGACGCCTATCGTCAAGGCCGCCCGCGAGCGCGGTCTGCTCATCATCACTGCCGGCACCAACACTCTGCGTTTCGTGCCGCCATTGACCATCACCGAGGAGGAGATCCAGCAGGGTTTGGATATCGTTGAGGAGGCCATCTCCGTCACCCGCTCATGAGAGCGTGATGACTCACCACCCCGCAACTTCATGTGATGAAAGGATGTTTCGATCCATGTAATTAATTTTCGTTTGGCGCCGGCGTTTAAAACCTGACGACACTTAGACCTAGATCCCAAGCAACGTAAAGCAGCGAAGCGTTGTCGTTCTGAGGATGTAGTTGCTTGAAGGCTTGCCATTTTGAGAGATGGGCTTGCCGAAAGCTTGGATTTGTTCAATGAAAATGAATGTAACTTCAAACCAAAGTATGCCACAGGAGGGTGTCGCTGTCCTCCCCGATCGCCTTCTTCGCCCCCAATGTTGATGATGGATCCAGACGCATCTTAGGGCCTGCTTCTAGATAAAGTACATTTCATCATCTTCCAGCCGCACCTTCCTCGCTCGAGGGTTCAAGTGCCGCTAATGAAGGGGGAGGCGCAAGAGAGCATGCCTTCCCTCGCGAGGTCTTCACAACCGCTTTTCTCGCAGTATAAGATCCTCTCGATGTTCCAATCCTCTCTGCTTTTCTTTCCCCTCAACAACCCAAGGTCCTGGACACTCAAGAGCCTTCTCATTGCGTAGGTTTCTCGATACTGGGTCCCATTATTCAACTTTCGCCAGACCAACAAGACTTTTACTGGAGGCTAAGTATCATCCACCCCTTCTGGCACTCCAGTCCCTACAAGTTTGCCACGCCATAGATACTTCGCGGCTCTGGCCTATCCATACTCACACCTGTCAACTGTAAGAGACAGTCGCCTTTGAGAGATATCTAGCCAAAATACTAACGCATTCGAAAGATGGGCGAGATATTCGAGATAGAGGACCTTGAGCGATGGCTTCAAGAGATCAGAGGGCAGTCAAGCGATCGGCCTTGCCGTCTTGTGCAGGAGAGCTTGGCCAAGAGACTCATCGCCGCTCTGTACGAAGGCAACTTCGACGTGATGAAAGAGCTCTGCGCTCCCGACGTCATGCTACTCGCGGATCTAAAAGGGCCTGGTCAGATTTTCTACGGCCCGTCAGAGATCGACGATTACCGCTATGACAACCCTGGCTATGTCCGCGAAAAGATGGCCATTGTCGATCGCCTTCGTGTTACGACCGCAGTTGAGTTCTTTTCGAAGAGAGCACATGGCAAGGCCTTCAAGCAACGCAGACTTATTATCTTGGACATGAACAACGATCACAAGGTCATTCGTATCGAGATGAGACCCGTTGGTCCTAAGGAGTCAGTCGATCCGGATGCGCCGATTCCGCAAGGTGGTCCAAGTTTCTCAGTTGACAACTCTCTTTGACGACCACCACTCCAAGTAACCAGGAGGCAAATCAGGGATAGAAGGCGTAGAGAAGAGAAATTATTGACAACGCGATGGAATGGGACCATAGTTGAAGGGATCGAGACATAGGAAGATGGAATCTCAGGGCAGATTGGTTCCCAACGATAATATCACGCAGTTTTGAGAAGTTTCAAACTACTTTTGCCATTTACAGTCTCGTATCCCCAATTGACCCAAATGTAAGAATGAAGCTTATATCCAGTTGTATGGTGGTCATATCTCTCTCGCTGGAAATGGCCACCGACACTGTTTGGATCGTGCTGGATTGAGACTCCAGGAGGCCATCTTGGTTCCTTAAGACCTTATATCCGATTGTGGAAGGTTTTTCGTCAGCCTTTTCTTGTTATGGGCATGTCAACCTGTGGTAATGCAGTGGTTTCGATGTGATCTAGTCGTGGTTAATGGCTCTTGATATTTACGGCCAGGCCAGGCCTGACGAAAGTGGTCACATTTCTTTCCGAGCATCTTATCTCGCACAATGAGCACACCGAGCAAAGACTAAAATTTAGATTCAGGATACATACTCGCCCCGGGACCAACCGCAGTTCCTGGACATCTTACCTTACTTCATATCTCGGTGGACGGCAGGAACAGCGTAAGTTCCACGTCGAACCTCGGAAGGTGGAGATCAACCTTGAAAGATGGGTCCCGGCTAAATTCCCCTCCCGTGAGGCGGGCCCGATCTTGCCGGATGTTCCTGCGTTGGCGCATCCCCCACGTTTTGCCCCTCCTTCCCTCACTCACCTCACGCTCCCGAGGCAGGTACATAGCTGCCAAAGCCGTTGGACTTCGGTGTGAACGAAGCTCTTCTCGGTGACCTCTCTTGGCTGCCCAAGAACTCTCCGTCTCCATCATGCTTTTTCAATTCAAGTCAACGACAATCGGCAGCGCCCGTTCACGCCTCAGAGGACCTGCGCATGTTAAGTCATCAAGAACCGTGAAGCGGGGCTTCCTCGATAGCCTCCAACTTACATGCTCGAACGAGCCTAGTTGAAGTCCCAATCGATGACTATCGTGGACAGTCATTACTCGGTCACGACTAATCATCTTGCCGAAATCGCCCCGTTGCGTTGATGATGTGCCACCACACTGCCGAGAGTGATGCCGTGTCGTTGGGTCATCTCACCGCATCTTCCCCGAACCCAAGTCCGGATCTTCGTCCAGTGCCTCTTCCAGTCGAGGGAGAGCATGATAAGACCAGCGAAAGAAAAAGTCGAGACGATCTTGGCAAAAGGGCCAGACGGCCAAACGGAAGGCCATCGAAATCCGACGGTTCACCTGTCTCCCAACGCCAGTCTTACCTAAACGCACGTCAGCGGTCACCCTCGCCCTTGGTATCGATGCCACCTTTCCAGCCCTCCCTTTCCTTCTCTCAGGGAGGGATGATTCGCAACTTGACTGGAGCAAGACTGGGTCAAGACGACAAAAAACGGCGGAAGAACATGGGACCAGAACAAAGCGCTGTCAGAGACCTGCCATCTACTACAGCCAAGCTCAACGGATACTTCCACTTCAGTCTACCACAGCGAGTTTTCCATCCCGCCATTCGCCCTGTCCAGCCCCACCAAACCACACCAAACGTCAGTCGGTACATTATGAAAAAGCTTGGGAGACCGTCGGTGTCCTCCCCTTCCGCTGGTGTTGCGCACAGCCCACCCTGTTGTTTCGAAACTCGTCCCCTCCCTCCCCCACGGGCAACAAGAGATCGGACCCAGCTTCACTCTTGAATCAGACTGTAGCCAATCGCAACCGGCCCGTACTACGATAATCCGCGCCGTTATAGGATTTTGTCTGCCCCGTCAAGTCGTCAACAGCACTTTTCAGCCCGCCCAGGCTGCGGGAAGGAAGTTTGGAACGCAAGGCACGCACACCAAGCTTTCAAGGGGTCCACCTGTTTGGCTCAGCTCAGCTTGGCGGACTACTCCTGACCATCTTCATCATCTGCCGGTACCAGCGTACCAGCCTGCGATTTCTGAAGAATCAGCAGAGTCCGTCCCTGGCTCCCCCGTCTAGTGTCGGGATCAAGTCGATCCCACGTGAGGTCCCTGCCTCTGATCCGCCCTCTTTACCCCATTGGGATGAGGTTGCGGTACATGAAGCCGTTGTGCTGCAGGAACGTCCAACACGGAATAGGCGAGGGAAAGAAGCTTAATGTCGCCTCCGTCTCACCGGCCGGCTGGGCGATTCGGGAGTAGAAACAAGGAAGATCTCACACCACGTCCGCTATAAGAGTGCAATGGTCGCCAGTTATCCCTCCCATCTCATGTGACGACGACCAAGAACCTTGAATAGTTGTTGATCCAACTTTCACCTAGCATCGGATAATTCATATTCACTCCTTAGTAATAACTTGCCAACTACAAGAATCAGTCCTTACAATACCAGCACACAAAATGCACAGCTCAACAGCAGCCTTCCTCCTCGCCCTGCTGGGCACGGCGAGTTCCTCCCCTCTCACGATTCAGCCCCGCCAGGCCGACTTCTCAGGGAATCAGCAAGATGGTCTCGCCGCAGGGTGCCAGTCCATGATCGTCATCTTTGCCCGCGGCACCACCGAGGGAGGCAACGTTGGAACCATTGCCGGCCCGCCCTTCTTCCAGTCCCTTGCTACTCAGGTCGGCGGCAGCCTTGCCGTCCAGGGTGTCGAGTATCCCGCCGATATCCCCGGTTTCTTGGCCGGAGGTGACGCCAACGGATCCCAAATGATGGCCACTCTTACTGAGCAAGCCATCACCAACTGCCCCAACTCGGCCGTCATCATGTCTGGATACTCCCAGGGTGGACAGCTCGTCCACAACGGTGCTGCAATGATGCAGCCTGATATGGTGGCCAAGGTTGCAGGTGCCGTCATCTTCGGTGACCCGCGTAAGTTATTTTCCATCAAGCCTTCTCACGGGGTTCATGATTTCTTGAGTTCAATGCTAACGTACCTTCTTCACAGTCAACGGACAAGCTGTCCAGGGCGTTGATGCCGCCAAGACCAAGGTCATTTGCCACAACGGCGACAACATCTGCGAGGGCGGCAACCAAATTCGCCGCGCTCACTTGACGTACGGCAACGACGCTGATGAGGCCGCCACCTTTGCCGCCTCGATGATGCCGGCTACCGCGGCCCCTGCTGCGGCTTAAGAGGGACCCCGGCAGCCTTCTCAGAGTTGACCTCGAAGGCTTTTTCTTTTTTCTACCCACACTCTCGTTGTATATACATATCGTAAATACTTTTTTGTGTGCACAAAAGCCCAAGCCAAACAGGTTGCACTCACTTATCTACCTACATAGTACCTATTGTCTTTTGTGGAAATTTGTAATGTGGAGAGCAGGAGAGGAGTGTGTTCCTCGTCTCAGGAGCGAGGTGTTGGGGGTGGTTGTGATCATCATTGGCATAGCTTAGCATTTGCGCAGCCCTAGTAGTATACAATCTAGACCAATGTATCGTGTAATCAGACCTTATAGGCGATTAAGTGAAGGCGGCGGACATCGCCAAATATAGGCCCAACATTGCATGCAGGTGTCGGCTCCCGTCGCAGAGTGCCTGGGTGCTTCTTGGCCTGTTTCAGCGCCACGTCTGATTACAACCAGAATATTCATGCTCGGTGGCCGGGTGAGCAACACGACGACCCTTTGAGAAGTTCGGCAGTGCTCCTATCGATGAGCGAACCTTCCAGGGGATGTTGTTGAGATTGTGGCCTCCCATCTGGCTGTCGGGAATCATTATTGCTTCTTGGTGTCCTTTGTTCTGCCGCTTTTGTCGCAAGGCGTAGTCTTGTTAGTAGCTGATCAGAGATAGATGTATCCACGTGGCAGCGCTTGCGTATTTGACCTGAGGGGGGGGGGGGGGTATTTTTCTTCCATCCTTCTGCACCCGACTCATTGAGCGTGGTAGGATACGCGTCTCACTTACTATGGTGAGACTTGGTCTGCTGCTGCTATCCTGATGAGAGGGTTTGAAGACGTGGCCAAGCTGGTAAGAGCAAGAAGACCAAGATGTCTATGGCCGTCTTCGCCCGTTACTGAAAGCATTCATCTCGACTTCGGCTGGTGACGAGAACATATCCAAGTAGCATCCCGCAATACACCCTTCCCACCACCTACAAGCCTATCCCAAAAACCTCTCTCCGCCCCAAATCTCGCGTTCAACCAGACTCCCCATCTATCCTGGCCTCACGCATATAACCTCTCTTCCACCTCTATCCTGACCCCAAGCATACAACCTCTCTCCCATCAACCTCACCTCTTCACCGTCACCCTCACAACACATTCCCACCCCTGCCCCCCAACACCCTCCATCCTCTCCTCATCCCAAACCTCGACACTCTCCGCGTACGGCTCCAGCGCGCCGCGGAAATCATCCCAGTCCATTCTTGGGCCGACGTACAGCACCGTCTCAACAACCCCTTTCTCGCTAGAGTTGCTGGAGGCAAAGGCCTCCATGTACTTCCGCACCAGAGCGACTTGCTTCGGGTATACAAACATCCACGCCTTCGCTTCCGCCGCAGTGGAGTCGAGTGCCCATGTCCCTGGGACGGTGCGGTGGTTGCGGTGGTATTTATTTGGGGATGGGGCGATTTCGATGCTGGTTAGGTTGAGCGGCTGAGGGGTAGGTGACTCCTGAGAAGCCTGAGGATCTTCTTGAGTGGTAGGATCATGGGTATCGGCCAGAGAGTCAAGCAGAGCCTCAACTAGCCCCGTTCCGCTCCCGATCGAGAGCGTTAGATCCGGCGCTGGCGGAAGTTGTGCGTGAAGGGCTTTGATGAAGGGGAGGGAGAGGGTCAGGCAGGAATCCGGGTGTCGTTGGGGCTCATTTGTGAGAGTTGGGAGGGGCGCGGGTGTGAATGCTGGTGAAGGCTCTTCATCTTCAAGGAAGTCTTCATATTCTGGATCTTCTGGGTTGACTGGCGAAGAGTCACCGGCAGAATTGTGTTGGGTGGTGGACATGCCTGTTATTTTGATGGCGCGAGTGAAGTATACGCAGGTAGGGCCGGAGGGGGCAGGTACATGGAGCCGGGGCAGGCGAGCTTCGATGAGGTGCATCCGTGCTGCACGTCAGTTGAATCGGCCCCACCGAATCGCGGATCCACCAAACCTTAAGGTATAGGTACCTTGAGGCTAACCCGGATCTTAGTCTGCGGCCCCTTCCGTGATGGGATATAATTACTGCTACGTTCGACCTCATGCATACACAAGCCGTGGGCACCGCGTGTTTTGTATATAAATGTAGTGTGTTGTTTTATTTCCCTTACAAGCGAGATCGCGTCAAAGGCTACTTCGGTAAGGAAAACCATTCTATGTAAAAAAGGAAAAAAAAGTTCACCCCCCGGTGCTGGACTGGGGGCTACATCTCTCGGTGCTCATGCTGGGACATAATTTCTGGTGCTCATACTGGGATTCGAACTCGGGTACACTCGTATGCGCTAAGCCTGTCGTCGAGTAAGGCTGGTTGGCGATTTAATTGTTGACCATGAACCCCTCCACCACCCAGCCAGTTCGACCTGACCCGTCGACCTAGACGGGCGCCTGCTGGTTGGTGACAGGAACGGGATCGAGGGGACCTATACACCCTTAGACCTGTCATGTATTCTAACGTCGCGGGATCCCATTCGCAAAGATCTACAGCAACACCGGAAACAAGTGTCCATTTCAATCAGATGTGTATTTCTTGAGAGACAAACAAGCTAATGCGACAAAGCTCCATAGGACCAGACACCGGTCCCAACTCCAAAGTCGCGACTTGGGCTCGCGAGAATTATGCAACCCAGAAACCGTAGCCACTAATCCAGTTTACAGCCATAAAATGTACACTTTCCTCTTTCTTTCCCTGGGCCATCTCTTTTTCTTTTTGTGAGCGGGTGCTGTGGACGAGGATCATCATCTCAGTTCTCACACCTAGACGGCACTGTATCCGCCCCGGCCACCGCTAGTGTTTACGGTGTTGAGCACGTTCCTAGTCCAGTCCTTCACCAGGTAGGGGATATCGCGAATGGTGTCTCCGTGCGGCAAAAGATCCCAGCCCCTAGCACCGTATCGGTTGTAGTTCAGCCACGAGCCGAAGATGAGGTATGCGGCGATACCGAGGAAGGCCCTGTGGGAAAGAACCAACGTTAGCTTCTGCGACACACTACCCTGTAGATTCCGTCAGACTTACAAGACAAAGAGCCAGGTGAAGAAGCCCCAGTGGCTGCTCGTGTCACCACCACCACTGCCACCCTCCGCAGGCGGCTTGCCGTACGCGTCCTCGCACGCGTACTTGGTGTGCCACGTTAACCTCAGCACATCCATGTCGTTCTTCTCGTTCGGGCCGTAGCTGTTCCAGATCAAGGCCGTCCCGTTGAGCAGAACCTGCTTCTCGTCGGGCGAGGGTCCGTCATCCTCGCCCTCCTTGCCCTCCTCGCGCGCGCGGAACTGGCTGCCGTCGTACTGGTCCTCGGGCTTGACCTCGCCCTCGAGACCCGTCCTGTCACGGTCGCAGAGGAACTCGATGATGGCCTTTTGGTTCCTGCCCTTCTTATTGAGCGGGTACGAGCCTCCGTTGAGGATGAGGCGGACGCCCTCCTTCTTCGCGTCCGAGTTGGAGTCGCTCGACTTGAGTCGTTCTGCTGTGGCGTCCAGTTTGCCTCCGCCGAGGTCGCCAAGTTCGCCGGCGATGGGTATCACTTTTTCGACTTCGTCCTTCTTGTCGTCGCCTGGATGGATGTTGCGTTCAATGGCACAAACTGTCCAGACACGTTAGCTCTGCACTGGTCGAGCTTGCCACTCTCAACGATTTCGCGTGAATCCATACCTCTTGTGAAACTGGGGCACTGCTCCTCCTTCTTGACGTCTCCTTTGCGCTTCAAGGGAGCACAGATATCGACGGTATAGGATGTGTTGGTGTACGTAGGGGGGTGCCACTGGCTGGTCACAACGCTGTGCGGTCCGCCTAGCGCCTCGAGGTTGAATGAGACGTCGTCGACTCGGATGTGTTTGCAATCGAGCATCGCGGCCGCCGGCAGAGGCGCCAACAGCAGTGCCAGCACAAAGGCTCCTTCGGCCCGCGATAGTCGAGGGAAATGCATCGCGGGAGATCCGACCAAGCGTTTCTCTCGGGGGACCGTCTGAGCTTCGATGGGGATTTCGGGGAGAGGCGGATCTGCTGCGGATCACGAAAGCTTAGCAAGCAACAGCTGCTGCAAGGTTGCGCAAAGTATTGGGAGAAGAAAAAGGGGAGTAGTGAAGAAAAAGAGTAGTCTTGTACGTAATGAGTGTGGTTCTGGAAGCTGGGCAGGCAACAGAAAACGGGCAGGTCACGGCGTGTCGTTCATGTGGCTTGGGAGGCCGGAGCAAGTGGACTGTGGCAGCGGGTGGATGACCTCGTTTTGGCTGCTGCTTGGGAGAATGGGACCTGACCGTTTTGGCCAGGCGGCATTTAGCTCGTTGCATCATCGTCATGCCGAAGATCTAGCGAATCACGTGCAACGGCCATTGCCTGGCGATGGGGGAAGTGGACAACGAGCACGGATCTGGCCGCACTGTCATCCGCCTGTGTACCTAGGTAGCTGACATAAGGCAGCACTGCGTCCTCAATCTCACCTTGCTTCACCTTAGCACACCTCGGCCCAACTCGGCCAACGCTCAACTTACCTTACGCATTTGATATTCGTTGATATTAGTCCGCACACGTACATACTCACTCAAGTTCACCGAACTAGGCACCTTGGCAGGGCCAATATCACTCAACACATCGATCAAGCACCGAAGCATGGAAAACTGATTTGATACTCTGTACATCAAATGATACATGAGCTCGCTTCCGCAGAGCCTTGAACTGCTCTGGTGGTATGCACCATTCCCTTCCCTCCTCCGTGACCCATGAAAAGCAATTGCCGTCCATCCCTAACCGCACCTCGAAGGATAAGGTAAGTACGCCTTCGTAGGGGTATATAAGACCATGAGAGATCAAACAGCCAATCCGTCCCTAAAGTCCCCAGACGCCAAAGTACCGTAAAAGACGCTCATCACCCATTCCGTCCACGCCATAGTCTCCTAATTATTCATTTCACCCCCTCGACATGCCCGCAGCATTAACCAGTAGCGCGATCTGTGGCAGCACGTCTCATGTTAGACCTAACTCGCGATTGCCAGTTAAAAGCCGATTTGATGTGCGACGACATGTCTGGCGCGTGCTCATGTGCCATACAGGGGTCGCTAAGTCCACCAGTCCCGGGGTCGGAGACCGGGCGAGTCCTACATGCCGTGAGGTCCCATCATGCCGCCCATGCCTTGCATTTGTTGTTGTTGCTGCTGCTGCTGTTGCTGCTGCTGCATCATGACCTGATGAGCCCTGCGCTGGGCAAGAACGCTCTGAATCTGATTCTTGGCCTCCATCATGCAGTTTCGCTTGAAGGCCTCCATCTGCTCCGGTGGAATGTTCTCAACAGCACCACCCCACTTGGCGGCAAGATTGGCGATCTGCTTGTTGTATATCGCTTGCCCTTGTAGTTTGACTTGGTTTGTCAATGCGTTGTTGTTGTTCATTGCTTGCTGCTGCTGCATTTGCATCATAGCCTGCATATTCATGTTCTGGCCATTCATCATGTTCTGGCCACCGCCGGCCATCTGGCGCTGCATCGGGTTCATTTGCGCCTGGATTTGCGCTTGAAGCTGTGCTTGCATCTGCGGCGTCATCTGGCCACCATTCATGTTGTTGGCGCCCATTTGGCTGAGCTGCTGAGCGTATCGCTGCGCCAGTTGCTGGTTCATCATGTTGCTCATGTTGCCACCCATGTTGCCGCGTTGCTGTTGCTGCTGTTGCTGTTGCATCATGAGTCTGTGCTGCATTTGCTGCTGCATATATTGCTGTTGCTGAGGCGTCATCTGCTGAGGGTTCATATTGCCGTTCATCATGTTACCCATGCCGTTCTGCATCGCGGCAGCCATTTGCTGCTGCTGAATGGCTCGTTGTTGTTGGGCAACTTGTGCAGCAATCATATTGGGGTTATGCGCAGCTTGTGGCATAGCACCGGGCGTTCCCATCATGACGTGTTGGCCCATTTGAGAGTTTGACTGCATCATGTTGGGAGGTGGGCTTGCCTGATTCATACGAGGCGTTGCTGCCACTGCCGGACGAGGCACGGGCGTTCCCTGCATGTTTGGCGTACCGTGCTGGATGCGCGGGGTGGCAGCTTGGTGACTCTGTTGGCTGGCGCGAGCAGACATGCTGTGCGCCATTGGGACTCCACCAACGTTGGGCGGGTGGCCTTGGACGGCTGATGGCGGGCGTGGCGGGCTGTTGGCCATCTGGGAGTTGTTCTGCTGCATGGGCACAGCGCCAGGCATGGGAGATGACATGCTGTGGGGTGTGCCCTGTCTGACGACGGGAGACACTGGTGGCTGCGATGCCTGAGAGAAGCGTGCCTGGGTCTGGGCCGGAACACCATTTGGCATCGCACCAGATGTACCGTTTGGCATAGCAACGTTCGCCTGCTGCTGCTGTTGCTGCTGCTGTTGTTGTTGCTGTTGTTGCTGTTGCTGTTGCTGTTGCTGTTGCTGTTGCTGTTGCTGCTGCTGCTGGGCCAGATTTGCCGCCGCAGCGTTCTGGCTGTTCTGAGCGGCCTGGTTCGCAGCAGCCTGTGCGGCCATAGCCCGTCTTTGGGCCTCTCTCTGCTGCTGTTCTTGGCGAGCTTTGAGTTCCTGAGCCATTTGATGTTCGCGCCGCATCTTCTCCTGTTCCGCCTGGCGCTGGGCCGCAATGACCGCTTGCTGTTCCTGCATCTGCTTTTGCTTCTCTTGTGCAAGCTGGCGCTCCTTCGCGGCCGCTTCGACCTTCTCTTGCTCCTTTCTCTCCTCGTGCTCTCTCTTGATGTCAGCGATGACCTTGAATCGCTCAAATCTTGGCTCGAATGTAGATACAACAGCCTGGCCCTCTTTGTCCGCTCCGTTGGCCCCACCTTGGGTGCCATTGGCAGCCGAAGAAAGACGCTCGTCCAAGATAAGCATGTATCTTTCCTGTTCTGCTGCGGCAGCCTCGTCGGCGGCCATTTCGGCGACCGTCCTCTTGCGGGTTTTGGGTTGAGGGGGCGAGTCTGAGTGTTGGGGGTGCGCCAACGCATCGAGTAATGCAATAGTCTCTTCGGTATCTCGGGTTGGCTCGAGAAACAGGGGAGCGTTGGTCGCAAGCAAAATCTGTGATTCTGCTTGGTATATATTACTTCCATCAAGCTCCATACGCTCGCGCTTCTGCTTCTTGGCGGGAGGAGGCATGCTGCCTGCAGTAGGAGTTGGGGGCACCATAGTAATCGGCGTTGATGGGGGTACAGTGCCAGTGCCTTCCACATTTCCTGCTGCCCCTCGAGGTGTTGTAGCCTTGATCATCAGGTCTGCGTGGAGGCTCTCAGGCGTAGGGTGGAGTACGACAGTGAAAGTCTTGGGCTTTGAGGGTATCTTGCTCTTTTGGCCTTCACCAGGCAGACTAGGTGCCGGCATGCTCTGCTTGTCCTTTTCCTCTGCAGTTTTGGGTTTCGTGTCTTCCTGTGTAGCGGATGCAGAATCAGGCTGCGCACCAAGAGACTCTTTGGGATATGGAACATATGGTGAAGGTACGATATATGGGTTGTGATTATGAATCGAAGATGGCACAACCTTGCTCGAAGCCGATGTTGGTCGCTGGACTTCCTTAGATTGAGCGACAGACTTGTGATCGTGCACCTGAACAATCAAGCATCCCTCGTAGAAAGGGACACCCGCTTCTGAGAAGTATTCGATGAGATCGTGAGGTACGGTGCGCTCGCGCAAGTGCTCCAAGAACAAACGCATCGGCGACTTGTAAGGGAATATTCCATCTTGCTGATCGAATCGGAAATGCGTTGCGTGCATGTGTACGACGAGGGAAGGTGCGTTGCCTGCGAACTTCTTCAATATGTATTCATCCGTTACAACTATCTCCTGTCAGCATTGGCGTCCATGATGATTGCAACAAGTCCACAATCTACTAACCATATGGTAACGGCTCCGAGGGCTGGGCGGCTGCCGTATCGCCGACGAGTGACGCCGATCGGAGTCCCACACTGTTCCTAGAAATGCGACTGCCTTGGGCTGACTGTTCACGGCGCGTGCGATTGATAGGCCGCGCTGATTGCGAATTCGCGCCATTCGTTGTCGCAGAGTTGGGAGGCTTCTTTGTCGACATTGAAGGCGATGGCGACGATCGGATAGAACTCGCTCCATTGGTTTGGATGCCGGGGGGCACGGGACGCTTAATCTTGGACGCGACAGAAGGCGGCTGGATGGCCGTCACGACTGGCGCCATTTTTGCCGGATGGGGCGGCTACCGGAGCGCAACAGGCCGGAGATGGCGTCGCGAGGCTATTCTCCCACTGTCGAATGATGCCCAGAGTCGTGTTACAGAGCAATCATTGAATGAGATCTTCGGCTCGTCGATCGCGATGGAGTTCGTTACGGGGGTGGTTGAGTGGATGATGCGCGTTGACAAATCGGGTGACGTCGACGTGGAGCAGGGTAATTGATGTCGAATGCGCGGTCGCAGTTGTATCGAAAATATCGTCGGCAGAGGATCAAAAGGTAACGGAGTTAGAAATCAGAAAAAAGACGACGGGAAAGATGCACAACAGCCCTGATGGATGGATTCCAAGCGTGTGGGGTTGGGATGTAGTCAGGCTTCCGCGAGACCTGTCGGAGAAAGGTCCAAGGAGGAGCCGCCGCAAGTCTCCGGAGACGCGGGCGTGGAGCAAAGCAGAGCCTCAGGCAAAACCCCGGATGGGCGCACGGATCACGGTGCTGGTACAGTGTGCAGACGGTACGTACTCCAGCACCCAAAAACTGTGAGAGTATCAAGCCTTGAAATGCGCTGCTGATATGTCTAAACAGTGAATATGAGGCTACAGCAATGATAATATGCTGATAAAAATCAAGCTACTGGAGATTGGTAGTCATTTAAGTCACATTTACGGTGACTAGATTGCTGGCCTTATGCGGAGGTCAGGAGTGAATATTTCACTCTTTCTTAAAGTTGTAATTCAAGATAATATGTTGTAACAATGGCGACAAGTACTCCAAACGACAGGTACTCTCGACGCCAGAACTTCATGCGAGAGCCTGTCTAGGTAACAACTCTGTAGATAGTATGGATGTATACAGGTTGAAATAGTGTGACACAGCATGTTCATCACATTGCAAGTAATATTCAAGGGCTTGTCATCAAGATATTGCACTATCAAAACCATTCATCTCGCGTCGCAACGGTCAATTACCTATCTGCTCATGAAAACGTTACATGATATCTCGTGGTATATACCAATCCAATAAAAAACACACATGTCATACCCGTCCCTTCCTCCCATGAGATCAGATTTCCCTTATTGGAAGTCTTCGTTTATACAGTGGAGA